GTTTCTGAGGACAGGACAAGGAGTAATGGGCTTAAAGTGCAGCAGGGGAGGTTTAGATTGGACATTAGGAAAAAATTCCTAACTGTCAGGGTGGTCAAATATTGGAATAAATTGCCAAGGGAGGTGGTGGAATCTCCCTCTCTGGAGATATTTAAGAACAGGTTAGATAGACATCTGTCAGGGATGGTGTAGGTGGAGCTTGGTCCTGCCTTGAGGGCGGGGGGCTGGACTCGATGACCTCTCGAGGTCCCTTCCAGTCCTATTATTCTATGATTCTATGATTGCCATTTTCGTGATCGGGGCTTTTTTGTGCAAAACAGTTTTCAGCTGTCTACACTGGCCCTTTTGCGCAAAAGCATTTCCGGAAAAGGGCTTTTGCCCAAACGGGAGCAGCATAGCATTTCCGCAAGAACACGGACAATCTTACATGAGATCGTCAGTGTTCTGGCGGAAATTCAAGCGGCCAGTGTAGACAGCTGGCCAGTTTTTCCGCAAAAGCAGCTGCTTTTGTGGAAAAACTTGCCAGTCTAGATGCAGCCACTAAGTTAAACCAGTGCAAATTGCTGTGTGGAAGGTCTTATTCCAGTTTGTTTCAATTTGGTTAAAATAGGCGCCCAATCCATTTAAAATCAGCTTGCTCTGAAGAGAAGAGGTCTTTCTCTCTCCTACAACCGGGGGAGTTCTGAACAGAGCCAGGAAACAGGCACAGTAATGGAATATGCATTATTTTTGCCTGCAGATCGCTAGCTGAATGAATTGCTTTTGGAACGAGCTATCTGCATACATACATTGGCTTCTGGGCTGAGACTGTGCATATGAAATTTTGGCTGGCAGGGTAATTTTGGGGAAAAGAAGTCATTTCAGGAGGAAAACGCCACCTCTGCCAGACCTATGACATTGCCAGCCGGAGGCTCGGCTGTACCCAGAGGCTGTTCACAGATGACCTTTTATCTCCCACTCTGCTGTTCCTGCTTGTTATGTGTTTCAGAGAGCTGCTCCGTAGTGTCGGGGAATGTGCAGTGGCTACGGACCACACCATATGGATCTCAGATGACACGATAATCATCCCGAACGCGGCTTAGCAGCCTGAAATAAAATTGGTCACTGAGCTCAATTACCATTCCATGCATATGCAATGAGACATGCTCTGCGCGGCACAAAGGAAACTTGTAGATTCAATGCCGTCCACCCTCATGTTAATTGCATCTCTTAACACTGGGCTGGCCGCCCCAACCCCCTCCCTTCTCCAGTCCCCCTCGTCCCCAATGTCCAGGCTCAGCTCCATGAGCGAAGCTCGCATGGGCAGCCTTCTGGGAACAGGCCTCCGCCCGCGTCTGCAACAGCGGCACAAGAAAAGAACAACGCATGGCAGATGAAATGGAGCAGACTGGCATAAAAGCAGCTCCCGGAGACGGGACTGATGGAGTGTAGATGGCAGCCTCATGGGGAAGCGCTGAAAGGCCAAATCAGATCTGAGGCCGCGGGACTCCTAGATAACGAATGTCATGTCGCTCCCGCTGGGCTTTGAATAACTACGTGCTGCCGTAGCTAGGGGCCTGGTGGCCTTTAGGCAGCCAGTCTCTGCAGTAACTGGTGGTTTTCTTTAGTAGTCTTTGGCTGTTTCTTTTGCACTGGGTGTCACATTGGTGTGTGTATGTGTTACACCCACTATTGCCCAGATGGCTGGATTAAGTCGCTGCAAACATGAACTAAATCCTCACAAAGCCTTCTGTAGTATTGTCATAGGAACGTTTTGCGATGACCGTTTTCCAGGCGGGGAAACCGAGGCACGGAGCAATCACACAGTGGCTCAGAGGCAGACAAGGACAAAACTGCGACAAAAGTGGGGTAGGATCCAGAACCTTGATTCCAGAGCAAGTCCCAAAGTGGAATGGGTTTATTTCCTGCAGCTGGTTTGGACAGGACTATGCTCTGATGAGCGAGCAGCTGTTCTCCCAGGATTTCTCCTCGCCGCGGTGCCAATCTCATCTGATTCCTGGAGGTGCAGCTGGTTTGGACAGGACTATGCTCCATTCTCCCAGGATTTCTCCTCGCCGCAGTGCCGATCTCATCTGATTCCTGGAGCTTTCCAGCGTGCCAGGTGACAAACATCTCACAGGCAGAGCGAGGCAGATCCCGCAGGAAATACATTTGCAAGCAATTTTTTTCCACTAAAATCGGCAGCTTTGCTTTGCTAGCGTTTGTGAGGCTTTCCAGGAGCAGCTGTGCAGGGGGAAAGCAAAAGTTGTGTGGATAATCGTGTGGTGAAATTGTCACGTGAGTTTTCAAGCCATTCACAAGTGCACCTTGCAAGTTCCTTGGGGACCAGGGCGGGATCAGCCACACAGGAAGCACAATGTCATGTGACTTAGACGACCAAACACGCAGACCAATAGAACGGTACGAATAGCAAGAGGCCCAGAATACAGCACCCACCAGCTAAAATACATTTGCATGAGTCATGCTTTGGCGAGTTGGGAATAACAAACACATTCATCGGTCTCAACAGCTGCCCGTGGAGCATTCACCAAGAGACAAAGGGAACAAACACAGCCTGTAAATGCTTCCCTGCAAAATTGTTCACTCCGCTTTGCTCTCAAGATCAGCTGCAAGTAGACGCAAAGCTGGAAATCCCAAGAAGTCTCCTCATTCCTATTCTGAACCCTTCCCATGCCAGGAGAGTGTTCACGGTATGCGTGAGGCCCATCTCGTCTGACACGTTGTTTGTCAGGACATGTGTCCGTAACCGTTTTATGAAGATCCACTGTTGGTCTGTAGCTTTTCACCTGGCCTCTGGTATCAGGGTAGGGTGACCCTCCCAAGTTAAAACACCACCCGTGCTGGCATAGCATTGCACCGTATCCACGTACAGCCTCAAGGGGAGGTCTCACCAAAGGACAGATTTTCACAAACGCTCCCCATTTTGCACGCCGCACCCTTTTAAAAATCCGACCGTCAGTGTCCCAGTGGGAGCTGCAGGGCGCTGGCCACTTCTGAGAAGCTGGCTTGCATTCTGAGGACTGAGTGCTTAGAAAACGTGACCCTCAGATCTAGGCAATCCTGCCACCTGTGCAGCTAGAGCCCAGACATGATTACTGAACCCACTCCTGAACCTGATCCGGATCATCAGCTTCCGCCGCCCAGCTCTCACGGAGACCATGCTCCCGGGAGCCAGTATGCTCGATGAATCTCCCACCCTTGGCGTTGCTGTTCCTCCGTGATCTCATTCTCAGGCGAGAGGCACATTCAGCTCCAAGGACGGTCCTCGCTGGTCAGTGGACAGCAGAAGGACAGCATTGCAAAGTGGGGAAGATGGAGCAGTCTGTCTAGCGCTCCAGGGAGAGGACACATTTTCCAAGGCCGTGTTTCTATTGTAATGGCCAATTTTAGGAAGCTGATTCTAAACCAGTGGTCGGGGCATCAGGGGTGGACATGATGCAGTCATGGACACTTGCTCTGAGATCAACCAAGAGAGGGAGGCAGGGAGGTGGCAGGATCAGACACTATCCCGCAGTCCGGGAGAGACCGACACTGCCAGAGCACAGTGAGGATTTTACTGGTGTGGAGGAGATGAAGAAGGATCTGCCCGTAGTGGCCAGAGGCCATTGCAATCTCATGAGCTCAGCCTAGTTCTTAGGAGACCCGAGTCCCCATCATGGACAAGTAAAACATTTCCCTAGGAGGGTGGGGAAGCACTGGGCTGGGTTCTCTAGGGAAGGGCTGGAATCTCCATCCCTAGAGGTTTTTAAGTCCTGGCTTGACAAAGCCCTGGCTGGGATGATTTTACTGGGGTTGGTCCTGCTTTGGGCAGGGGGCTGGACACGATGACTCCTGAGGTCTCCTCCAGCCCTACGACTCTATGATTCTCAGATCTTCCCAGCTGCCACTAGGCAGTGTTAGAAGAAGGCCAATGCGGAGCTCCTACGGCCACCCTGATGGACAGGTGGTGGGCCAGGTCCCCAGAAGAGCCAGCGTTCAGGCTCCAGGGCTAGCAAACCCTTTTACAGGACTTGAGTTTGCTTCAGTGGAAAGGGAATGTTAATTACACCCAAAGCACCTCACAGGTGTGAGCATCTTGTTGTGGCTTGTGCTGGGTGGGACTCTGGTCGGTTGGTTCCCCTGCTGGAATAGCTGGCTGGGAGCCGGGAGGTTGCTGGGTCGCATCCCACAGGAAGCACCATGCCTAAGGACCACGTGGCTAGGATAACATGCACCTCGCGTCAGGCAGCAGTCTGCCTCACGCACTGACCTTAAATAAACTGGCTCTCCAGCTCCCGAGTGCTCCAGAGAAGGGAAGCGACTCTGTCCCCGGAGCTGGTGCAATTCAGGAGAGTGAATGATCTGGCACTAAGGCACCGGCCTGGTGAGCAGAGCGGGGCACAGAACAGAAATTCCCTTCCTCTCTCTGTCCACTGGGGACGTGTCACCGTTGTTGGTACGTTTTCCCTGTCCGTTCCCGCAAGCCGAGCTTGGGGGGAATCCCCCGGGTGATGCCTTTTGATTTCGACCGCGCTGCCTTGTCTGATGGAAAACGGTTCCCTCAAAGCTTTTCCTCTCCACGTCCTGGTTCTGCCTCAGACTCTTTGTGCGTCCCTCGGCTAGTTGTGGCATCGCTCGGCGCCTCAGTTTCCCTTCTGTGAAATGGAGACAATACTGCATCCCGGCTCTGTCTGTCTTGCCCACCTCCAGTGCAAGCACAGAAGGGGAGGGACTGTGCCTTCCTCAGCAGGTGCCCAGTCCCGATACAAATACTGCCACATACTCTGCATCCAGGGCATCTCAGCTGCTGCTGGCAGGTGCCACATGTAATAAACAACCGTCACATAGGCCGCCCGTCCATCTTCTCCTGCTCACTCCAACCAGCTGCCTTTATCTTCTGTGTACCAGGCGTTCTGCATGTCAGTCTGAACCAGTGGCCCCAACATTCGGCTTGCTGGTTTCTCTTCCAGGCTAGATAATTCCTCACACTAGGACAATCCTTCTCTTGTCTCTTTTGGCAGGAATACACCATTGATATCTTCTTCGCTCAGACCTGGTACGACCGGCGCCTGCGCTTTAACAGCACCCTCAAAGCCCTGACTCTGAACACCAACATGGTGAGCCGCATCTGGATCCCAGACACCTTCTTCCGGAACTCCAAGCGGGCCGACTCACACTGGATCACCACGCCCAACCAGCTGCTCCGGATCTGGAATGATGGCAAGGTGCTCTACACGCTCCGGTACGTCTCGGGCCGCAGGAGTAAATGCCAAGCAACGCCATGGCCCCAGGTGGCTGCTGGGCTGGAGCATGGAGGGGTGCTGCAGTCGGGTTCCAGTGCATAAAGTTCCCAGCATGTAGAAAAGATGATGCTGGGGTATCTCAAGGTGAGGGTCTGAGGGGGCTAGGCTAGGATCTAGCAGGGGATGCAGGGGTGTCTTAAAGCGAGGGTTTAGGGGGCTTAGGCTAGGATCTAGCAGGGGATGCAGAGGTGTCTTAAAGCGAGGGTTTAGGGGGCTAGGCTAGGATCTAGCAGGGGATGCAGAGGTGTCTTAAAGCGAGGGTTTAGGGGGCTAGGCTAGGATCTAGCAGGGGATGCAGAGGTGTCTTAAAGCGAGGGTTTAGGGGGCTAGGCTAGGATCTAGCAGGGGATGCAGAGGTGTCTTAAAGCGAGGGTTTAGGGTGGCTTAGGCTAGGATCTAGCAGAGGAGATGCAGCGGTATCTTAAGGCAAGGGCTGGGGGGAGGGGCTAGGCTAGGATCTAATGGAGGGGATGCAGAGGTATCTCAAGGTAAGGATTTGGGGGGGTAGGCTAGAATCTAGTGGAGGGAATCAGGGGTGTCTTAAGGCGAGGGTTGGGGGGCTAGGTGAGGATCTAATGGAGGGGATGCAGGGGTATCTTAAGGCGAGGGTTGGGGGGCTAGGCGAGGATCTAGCAGGGGGATGCCGGGGTATCTTAAGGCGAGGGTTGGGGGGCTAGGCGAGGATCTAGCAGGGGGATGCAGAGGTATCTTAAAGTGAGGATTGTGGGGTTAGGTGAGGATCTAGCAGGGGGATGCAGAGGTATCTTAAGGCAAGGGTTGGGGGGTTAGGCGAGGATCTAGCAGCGGGATGCAGAGGTATCTCGTGGGAGGAGGGTTGGTGCTAGTGGAGGTTACACCATTAGGCAGAGATACCAAAGAATGGTCCTGTCTGAACTCAGGATGAAAAGTCAAATTAATGGACATTTTTGGGAACCAAAAATCTGTGTGTGTGGGGGGGGGGGATCAGTTTGACGTGTCTGAAACGTTTCCTTTCCCTTTTGACCATTTTAAAGCCCTAACGAACTTAAATTTCTAAACAGAAAGTCCTTTCAAACACAAACTTTTTGTTCCCAAAATGTCAGGATGACACATGGGAAAAAAAATCCAACCAATTTGGGAGGGACCAAAACATGGCAAGCCTGCCCCTTTCCTGGGAACTATTTCGGGTTCGACACCGCAGCCCGGTCTGACAACTGGGCGCTCCGCAGCTGTGTCGGAAGGGTCCACGCTGCTCTGAGGCTGTCTTTTGTCTCACTTCCAGGCTGACCATCGAGGCAGAATGTCTTCTCCAGCTGCAGAACTTCCCAATGGACACACACTCCTGCCCTCTGGTTTTCTCCAGTTGTGAGTATCGGTGTCGGAGATGTGGTTGAAAGAGGAAACTCCGCAGGTCCAAACCCTGTCCCGGGGAGAGCAGACTGTCTTCAGTGGGGGTTGGTAATTCGGACCCCATGGTCCTGTGGTGCTGGGCTTCTCCCAGACAGCCCCACAGAGACATCAACCGTGTCCTGGGACATCTGGCTGCCCCTGGGTCAAGATTCTCAGCCACATGACATTTCTGCTGAGTGCAAGAGAGGGGAACTGGGGGAAGCAGTCACTGGGGAATTGCAGCTACTCCCTGATTACCTGCCCAGCCTAGGAGCCTGGAGGCAGCTATAATCTCTCCCTGTGGTCCCCTGGGGGTCATCTGCCAAGTGAAGGTAGCTGGAGCACAGCACACTCCAGCCGGGGGGATGGTGTAGGGGACAGCTCTGACTCAGTGGGGAGCCAGGAGAGAAGCGAGATCCCATGGCCTCTGGCCACCGGGACACAGCAGGGCAGAGGTCCTGGAGCTCATTCTCTATAAGTCTCGGGGTGCGGCTCTATCAACTGGGGGTTGCCGGGCTCCCGCTGCAGCACTAGGCATAGCCACACAGACATTCCCCTCCCTGCGCCTCAGGAACGGCCGCCTGGCTGATTAGAGCGCTGGAGCTCAAATCCTAGTCTGAGGCCCATGGCCCTGGGGAGGGCTGTGTAGACGTACCCCATGGACATGCCCAACTTGCACACGATGCCTGGCGCTGTGCAACTAGCGGACTTGGTGTTTCCAAGCCCACTGCAGTGTGAACCAGAGTCAGACCGCTTTGTGTGTGGACGGAAGTGGAGCTTGTGCTCAAACCTGAGCCACAGCCCAGGCCTAGCGTGCGGTGTGAACCAGAGTCAGACCGCTTTGTGTGTGGACGGAAGTGGAGCTTGTGCTCAAACCTGAGCCACAGCCCAGGCCTAGCGTGCGGTGTGAACCAGAGTCAGACCGCTTTGTGTGTGGACGGAAGTGGAGCTTGTGCTCAAACCTGAGCCACAGCCCAGGCCTAGCGTGCGGTGTGAACCAGAGTCAGACCGCTTTGTGTGTGGACGGAAGTGGAGCTTGTGCTCAAACCTGAGCCACAGCCCAGGCCTAGCGTGCGGTGTGAACCAGAGTCAGACCGCTTTGTGTGTGGACGGAAGTGGAGCTTGTGCTCAAACCTGAGCCACAGCCCAGGCCTAGCGTGCGGTGTGAACCAGAGTCAGACCGCTTTGTGTGTGGACGGAAGTGGAGCTTGTGCTCAAACCTGAGCCACAGCCCAGGCCTAGCGTGCGGTGTGAACCAGAGTCAGACCGCTTTGTGTGTGGACGGAAGTGGAGCTTGTGCTCAAACCTGAGCCACAGCCCAGGCCTAGCGTGCGGTGTGAACCAGAGTCAGACCGCTTTGTGTGTGGACGGAAGTGGAGCTTGTGCTCAAACCTGAGCCACAGCCCAGGCCTAGCGTGCGGTGTGAACCAGAGTCAGACCGCTTTGTGTGTGGACGGAAGTGGAGCTTGTGCTCAAACCTGAGCCACAGCCCAGGCCTAGCGTGCGGTGTGAACCAGAGTCAGACCGCTTTGTGTGTGGACGGAAGTGGAGCTTGTGCTCAAACCTGAGCCACAGCCCAGGCCTAGCGTGCGGTGTGAACCAGAGTCAGACCGCTTTGTGTGTGGACGGAAGTGGAGCTTGTGCTCAAACCTGAGCCACAGCCCAGGCCTAGCGTGCGGTGTGAACCAGAGTCAGACCGCTTTGTGTGTGGACGGAAGTGGAGCTTGTGCTCAAACCTGAGCCACAGCCCAGGCCTAGCGTGCGGTGTGAACCAGAGTCAGACCGCTTTGTGTGTGGACAGAAGGGGGGGCTTGCACTCAAACATGAGACACAGCCCGGGCCGGCGTGCAGCGTTGACTGGCCCTGCGTGTGTGACTGTTCTCCACAGCGGGCGGAGATGAGGGGGCCTGCTATCGACTGGGCTTCTCCTGTCACTTACCTTGGGGCCTGTCATCCCGCTGTGGGCCTTCACCACAGATTTCCAGCCGCCTCAGGAGATGGCTGAGCAGATGCAAACTCCAGAAGCTCCCTCCCCGCTCCCAGCCCCCTCTCCCTGCCGCTGGCCAGTTTCAGACGGTGGGGCTGCGAGCTGCCTCCCAGGGACACAAGAAGCGGAGGAGATACAGTTCCCTCAGCCCCCCGCCTTTTGCCCCTCCCTCTTCCTTTGCTAATTAACAGTACACGCCATGCATGCTCGGCAATTAATTAGCAGCACGGTTTAGTCATGCTGCCAGGCTCTCCCGTCTCCCCTCCCGCAAGGAGCTATCATAGAGGCGTCAAGAGCCGGCTTCAAAACAAGTTTGACATTTCATTTTACACACAGCCAGGCCTGCGCCACGGAGCCACTGCTGCAAGGTGCGGCTGGGGGGGGGCCCGAGAAGGGGG